CCCCGCGCCCCCCCCCCCCCCCACACACACACACACATATAACAGTTGTCATGTCCACAGTAAAATACAACTATATTTTAATGCAGGTTCATAATATAATAAAACAGAATTTCTTCAAGTTAAGAATCAGAGTTTGAAGTTATTTTTGACAGTGCTCTACTGAGGTAACAACGTCGACATTGTCACTGAAATCACATTTACCAACTTAAGTGAAGTGATGAATTTGAAGTATAAAATTGAAAATTGGCAGTAAAATGAAGCATTTGTTGCTACTATAGATTTGAAAGTGACAATGTTGTGTTTTTGGGTTGTGACATCATGAAGACTCATAGGAAGACACCAAATTTCAAAGAAGTTTCTCCAAATCCACAGAGCACCACAACTTGGAAGAACAACACCATCATCTCCTACCTATACTTTATAGTATGCCTAATTATAATTACTCTCTAGTGAGCGTAAGTGCTGTATACATACCTACATACTTCATCCTGCTGATACCAGTTCCATACGGTTGCACAGACCAGTGAGTCACATGAAAAGATGCGTTCACCACAGACAGGTCATTTTCTTTAGCTGTGTGCTTTAAAATGGCAAGAATGAGACAATTACAGGTTGTATTCCAATATTACGGCCACGTTTTAAGCTACCAGTTTGAAGCTTTCGTCAGAATAAAGACCTCAGCAATCTGCATATTACGTTGTGTGCTTTTCCTTTACCAGTAACACCACGTGGTCAAAAATTACTCTTATGCCAGCGTACATGTAATCATATTAAGTCAAGTAAATGTGGAAATAGTATTTAAAATTCCATCGACGTTTGAAGATATAAATATTTTGTAATGCGCTGCAAAAATGTGACATGCATCGACACCTGCAAATGTGTAAATTAAAGATTGCTACAGGGAGGAAAATACATATGAGAAAAATGGTACAAAGTTTTAAACCAAAAAGAAATGCAATATTCCAATCTGTGAATGGTTAATTCCACTACATCTCCTGAAATATTTACAACTCCAATGATAATCACTTTTACTGTAAAAAGGTGTAATGGGTGGTTATTGCAGTGTAATTGTTAAATGTGATTTATACACTACGAATCACATTAATCGATTCTCGTAGAATGATTCTATAACAAAGACCACTGTCTTTGGTTCCTATTTAAAGTAACCACTGTCTCCTGTATCAGTTATTTCAAAAGACAGTTTGATTATTAGTCATCAAAATACAACAGAAATGGTCACAGAAGATCTACAATAAAATAACTTACGAGATATCGCTCTGTAGCTACAGACACCAAAATAAGGTCATCACCAACTCTCACTTTCTCACCCTCAGATCTTTGTTTGGATGCAGGATGTACAGTCCACCAGCACGCTTCACCTACGTCAAAAAATAAACTTGAAATTAGCTTATATGCTGACATAATACAATTTGATTCATCAAATGATCTATTAAATCATTACAGAATTTTCTTAGTCTTCATTTGAAACAATTAAGAATAACTCCAGCAGCTACTGTGACATGATCAGACCACCTGCTGCATCTATATAACCAAGTTTTATTATACAATAAAATCCTTTCGAACTATCAGCCGCGTAAAGTGGTTAAAACATGAAGAGACCGACGTTTCGAGGTCCATCTCTGTCCTTGTCCTCAGAAACCCTGTCATATACACCTGCTCTGGCCCTGTGTGACTGCTGGATGACGTCACGAACTTGCCGATTAGACAACATATTCAACACAGGATACCAGGCCCGGCTTAACATGAAACTTACTTTTCTAAACTGCCTCCTTCACGATGCGGTCCATGTAGCCTCTTGCCTTATCCAATACTTAAGTACTTATTGTAACAGCAATCATGTTAATTTTCTAGTCAGGCATAATTAGACCTTGTATGAGAACAATTCTGTAATTTGTGCTTAAAAGGAGTGCTTTCTCTTAAAATGTAAACTGTCGAGTACAAACCTTGGGAATGTTCCTGGAGACCCACATCAAAGGCTAATTTGTCATTGGAAGAGCTTGTTGATAAACAGGCCAAATACTGCAAATGAAATATGAATACTGTCAGGAAAGTCTGCACTGTTCCAAGAATCAAAATGAATCTACAGAATTTTGGTTGCAGAAGAGATACTGGGATGTCACGGTAATCATTTGTATCACTGTTCGTAGCTTTTGTCTTCATGACAGATTGCTAGCACAGGCCAGTAAAATCGACTTTCTGCTGTGATATGTGAAAAGTCGACTTACATCCATGCAGGTTTTGATACTGAAATCATGTCACCTAAAATAAATACCTAAACATACGATTATATTAATTTCTGGCCAATCTATGCACTTGTCAGCTGTTTCTATTCCTGTATTAGTTTGTTCACATGAACTTTTTGTGGATGGGTTTTATTACACATGTTTGCTTTTTAAAAGTGGATTCATGTACCACTTTCTCCCATCATATGGCCCTTACCACAACTCATCTCTCATGTTTCAAAATACGAGCCGTATCATATTCTCACATTTACCACTTCACTTTCAAGCTGTACACTGATAAGGAAAATACATTTGATATTAAAATGCATTTTCTGCAATCATTTCCACTACCCAATTTCATGTTATAATAAATGGCGTATAAGATTTTCTGTTATAATAATCTTAATTTCATAACAAAATAGTGTCATTGCTTGATTCTTACCATATCACTGTTCTGATGTCTCAGGAGAATGGCATTGCCATAGAGCAGAGTTCTGTGACCTGATCCGGTACCTTTACCCTGCGGAAGCCAAGAATGTCATTATAAATTATACAAGACAAAGCTACAGAATCTCACTTTCAGTACACAAAAGAAATTTATGTTCCAAGAAGTTATTACACAGTACAAAATGTTAAACATTTTGGTCAATGGATTTTCCTTTCAAAGGGTTCTATTACTCTTACAGCCATAACTGAATATTATGGCCTCCACATGTCTATCCAGCAAACACACCAGTATTTTCCACCAATTGCATCCACAACCACAGTACAATGCTCACAATGTGGTGCAAATTTCTCCTCAGCAGAGATTTTCCTTCTCAATTACGTACTTAACTCAAAATAAAGAATTACTTCAGGGACAGAGTTTTCATATCAGAATCGATTCCGTCAGCCGAGAGCCTTTATTCGGATGGGAACGTCTATTCAGGTCATTACTTCGCGACTTCTTGAAACAAAATATTTGAAACCTCGTGATCAAAACACATGGTGACATGATGTAATTTGTAAATCCAGAACCCAACTCTGAGTTGTGTTCTAACCAATCAGAAAAAAAAGAGAGACATTTTGTGTCTTGGTTTAATCTTTTCAACTGTCATGGCATAAAGCACTTAAATGCAAACTCAATGAATCCAGAAAAATAGTTACAGAAGATTTATGACCTGAAGCAGGATACTTTATTAACTTTCAAAACCAAATATTGGTTTCAAAGGTGTTTACAAATGCACCTGACAGACCTTTAAAGAGCACACATTTACCGCAAGCATCGACACAAGGATTTCAATTTTCTCCTACAGTTCCTAAAGAAGTTCCAGTGCCATGAGAACACAAAAGGTCACTTTCAAAAGTGCAGTATAGTCCTGTCATCCTTAGTCACAATCAACTCCATGGATCAGAGTCCTTCCTGAGGACCTAGCAGTCTCTCAGCTACCAAAAAAATTCCCCTCTCTTCATGAAAGTTTGCCATTGGACCCTACTCTGAGCCATTTGAACCCAGTCCACACCCTAATGCTTTATAACCAATTTTAATATTATCATCTCATCTACACCTAGGTCTCCCAAGTGTGGCAAGAGGATCAATGCCCATGATAATAAAGCTGGATACTGGGCTCAACACTCAGCAACTTGTTCAATGTATCGAGGAATTTGGTACGTTGCGAAAGACAGAGTGCCATCTGGAACAATGGTAACAGGAAGAAAGAGTCAAGAGAATGTAATGCAGAAATCAATTTTGGAGGGAATTATGAAGCTCTTTCAGTTATTTAGAATACAAAGTTATACGCATCATATTTTGTAACCTATAAACAGTTGTACCAAACATTGCACTGTAGCTTTTACAAATATTTCTTTGAAAATTGAATATCTTGAGCTGAATCTCAGCCTGAAGAATGGCCGTTCTTTCGGACTGAGGTTTTCGTGGTTCTTCTCAGTCCCTCCAGACAAATGTCAGGATACTGTGGCATGGCCACGTCTTTTCCATTTCATCATTCATTCAAGTAGCTGCCCTATAAACATCATTATTAATACTTTTATTCTGCCACACCCACGTGACAGAAACTCAGTTTCTCATCATAATCTTCCATCTACACACACGAAAAACCATACAGAAGTAAACGAAACCAATATTTGTTACAGATTACTATACCAAACAATTAGAAGCATTGCAGTATAATTAGTATCCCCCAAAGCTAGTTGTGTGTAATTAAGAGACTGTATTTTAAGACAAACTGAAATGTACTTTGTGACAGAGAAGCCAAATTTTTTATAAGTGCCAGCTTTAAAAATGTTAGCTGGTAACAGTTTT